TACTTGTAACACTTCAATCTAAGTGTTTCCTAAGTCCTAAGGTGTTTTCCATACATTATTAGTTGTATAAACACTAATTATATACATATATGTGTCATTATATGCTTATTAGGATTCGTTTGTGCTCGAGTCTTCACTTGACACTTAGCATCCTGCAACCGATCTTACATTCATATCACTCACTGCAGGTGAGTTCATACCCCTTAACTTATCTTTTAAATGATTTTAAATGCTTTTATGGGGGAATACAAGTAGAAACATTATAGTTATTATATCAATCATATGTGATTAATAATTATCAAACAAATGGATTTCTTATACTTCAAACTGTGTTTTCAAACAAATTGCTTCAAATCGTTTTTATAAACTATTTTATATGTAAAACTCTTTATCAAACTCTTTTAAACTTATATATTGTCAAAATCATGTCTATATAGATATAGTTATATAAGTAGGATTGAAAGGACTTAGGACTGATAACTCGCCTTACTTCATGTTCCTTGTTTGGTTGTGGACTTAGGGTATCGGTTGTTTGTCCGAATGTCGTTTGAATCTTAGTTATATATTATGTATATGTATATAGAAATAAAATTTCTTCGTTCAGTTCAATACCTTTGGGTAGCAAAGGTGTACAAACATGTTCATCCATACAAATAACATTGTTAGTAAACTATAATAGGTATAGTTTAGGAAGTCACTACTTACTATTTCTACAACAATGAAACATACAAGAGTCAGTTCATACATGAGTCAGTTCAAACATACTATAATGAGATACAATGCATACTATAACGAGAAACAATACTCACTATAAAGAGAAACAGAGAGAACATACACTACACTAGAACATACTATACACTAGACAGAGAGAACATACAATACACTAGAACATACTATACAAATACAAGAATACTATAACATTAATGTGATCCACTACTTCATGGCGCGGCAATATACTGCTGTGTCACGTTTTGTACCCAGAGTCTCCTGGAGGGAGAGCGTCAATTTGTGTATAGATTTATACGGGATTGACCATCCTACACCTTGCTGCTAGCTACAGTGGGACCTGCAGGTCTACGAGTGACGAATGTCATATCATTTTCGACGTCTCGAACGTCGTGTTATACTAGTCGATCAAGTATGGTTACAATCTTATCACATTTTGCCTTAATTAAACAAACAGGTTTAAGGTAGTTAGTACATTGGTAGTTACTTAGATAAAACTACAGTACATCCTTATTTTCCCATTTCATTCACATTGTGATCTTCTCACTTAAACGGTAATGAAAACTATATTTTGGTAATGATAGTCATACTTTGGGAAAATACACTTTTACAAAAGAACAAACATAAATAACAGTTAGGTCTTGGTAGAAGACTACTTTAGTAGAAAATATAGGATTTTCTAGGAAGTTTACAAACATTTACATTCAAACACTTACAAACTTTTACATCAAACATTTACAAACACTTTCTTCAAACATATATAAACAATGACACTAAAATACTTATGAATTCACCAGCTTTAATGCTGATCTACGCTTTCAAAATAACTTGTATTCTCAGGTCACCAGTAGACAGGTACCGATGACCAGGTTTTGAGAAGATGGAGCACGTTCAAGACTCATCTCTTATTTTGATATATATTTTTGGTGTCTTATAAACTATTCAGAACACACTTGTATTAAATTATATTACTAATGCAATGGATGATGTTGTTGCTTGTTTTACTATTATGCATTGTTGTGATAATGTACATGACGTCCTCCGCCCCTGAACGTTTCCGCCATTCCGGTTTGGGGGTGTGACATGAATAATGTGATAGCGATAGAGGAGAAACTTCGATAGCGATATCTTCCTCATAGCCATGGTGGAAAAGGTGGTTGACGACAGTCAATGGAGAGGCGTCGGAGAACAAATTAACTTATGGAAATTAAAGGCATCGTTCCGACTTCCGACGCCTGTCGTCTGTCGGGTAAATCGTACGCTTGATCTCGATTCCTTTGGGTCATTTCCAATTCCTTTTGGCGGATAAGTTAACGAATGTGGTAAGGAAGGGTGGTGTCAACTGGCAGTAGTTCTAGGGTTAGGGTTTTGTAGGTGCGATGTTGGGAGCGGCAGTTGTTTGAATAGTTTGAGTTGGCGTCGACCGGTGATGGTGGCAGCGAGGATGGTGGAGACAGTGGGTTGAAGGCCAGTGGTTGATAGTTATCGGATTTGGAGAGAGAGAGAGAGAGAGAGAGAGAGAGAGAGAGAGAGAGTTCGATTAGGGGGCACATCGATCCAAGGTGGGAGACGAAAAATATAGAACAAAAAAAACAAAAAGAAGGGATTAGGTTTAATTTAGAAATATATTATTTTTGGTAAAGAGGGAAAAAAATTGTTATAAGTTTTAGTAAAGAAGAAAAATTGAAACTTTTTTGAAGACGAAAAAGTTGAATCCCTCCAAATTTTGTTTTCATTTTTCAACATTCAACTGTCACCATAAAACATTTAGTCACGTGTTTTATTTATCTTTTATTGTTACGATTTTGTGCTTTTAGATACACATAAAAATTAAAACGTGCTTATAAAATATTTTTAGTGACATGTTTTTTTTTAAATGTCATAATAAAATACTTACAGTCATATATTATTATTCTTTTATATTTAAAATCATTAATTTTATACATACATTTGAAATTAAACTGTTATCATAAAACACTTATAGTAAAATGTTTTTTTTAATGTCATAATAAAATAATACAGTCACAATGATCTATCATGACTATTGGCTAGTATTTGTAATATTTTTATGTGAAACAATGACAAAATATGTAAATATAGTTTGCAATGGTGACGGTTTTTAACTAATATGTGACTAAAACATTACTGCAATTTGATTAATGACCTTTAGTAACGCAATTAACCAAATCTATAACAACCCTATTTTTAAAAAGTGTGGTCATATGTCATTTTTGTACTAATGGATCCTTATAGATTGCATGTGCCCTTAAATGTTAAGTGATTTTCCGCATGTACATGTTTGTTATGACCTACAAAACCCATCACTATTACCCATTTTTTTCCTTATAACAACGTTGTATTTTAAAAATTGTCTTTTATTAAGGCATTGTACTTGACAAATCTACCCGTGTAGGGTAAATGATGTTAAAGATAATATGCTATATATTTTTCAAAGTACAATACCCTAATTAAAAAATAACCAAAAAGTATGATGCTATAATAATAAATAAAATTCAAATTAGAGTTTTTTTTTAGAAAAAAAAAAAGAAAAAGAAGAAGAAGAAGATTTAGAGAATAAATTGTTATTTCTTGCAATTAGCCTTAAAATTTAACACCGTAGTGGCATAAAAATGAGTGTTTTGGTTGTTATATTTTGTTACAGGTGACACAAGGTTGCATTTTTTGGGGATCGTAGAAGTGACCTTATTAAATTTGTTTATCCTATTTCCTTTTCAGGAAATACAGATGTTTTAGTAGGGAGAACAGACAAACTTCACTCATCATCTTCAAACAAATATGAAGAAAGAGTTGATGCACTAACTGCTACCCTTTTGCCCGTCGCGAAGCGTGGGAATTCCTCTAGTTTGATTATATCCTGTAATATCTTTATTTTCCTTAAATTATTGTTAACCAATTTGACCAAATTACCCTTACAGTTAATTATGTGTAGTTATATAATAAATGTTATCACATGTTAATGACATCTACCCTCATATCACAACCCTTCATTCATTTAATTTAATGAACAAGAAGTGGCCATACATTCACACGATATTTGTAGTTCACATTTATTTCTAACCCTATATATATATATATATATATATATATATATATATATATATTGACATTTCTAATTTCTAAGTTTGCTCCTTTGAGTAGACTTCTTCAAAAGGGAAAGGCATGAGTGAGCTAAATGGGACAAGCACCAAGTAAAGCTCTCATTGAAAAACACAATGTGTAGAATGAAAGTGATTATACCACCACTTGGTCAACAGCCCACCTTCCACTTACTCTAGATATGAATCACAAACCCATTTTAGATGGGATAACTATAATCACAATCCTCAAATCATATTCAAACTCCCCCTAAACCACAATTTTCGAACCATTGACTCCATGCATTTTGTCAATCAACTACCTAAATCAATATAGATAAAGAAAGCGACCAAGTAGCCTTTTGGCCCACCGCTAATAATTCAATCAAGTAAACGCAAAGGTCAAGTGTATCTGCACTTTAGAAGATCATGATTTAGAGAATATTCACCATCGCACTAACTGCATCTTGCAAAAGGACCATTTGTTCGGGAATCAGTCTAGTAATCCCCAATTTACGGGTTGTTTTAAGATTAACACCAGGAATTATTTCAAGAAATAGATGCCAAGTTACAAAGTGTGAGACCCACAAGTTGGGAGAGTGAGAAAGATAAAAGGATAGCATGGTAGGCATGGGATAAGCTTCTTGGACAAAGTGCAAATCCACACTTTTAATTCTTACATGTTACTTATAGATATTGTAAAATAATATGCATGTGTGTGGGGAAGAACTTCTTTGTAAAAAAGAGGAAAACACTTGTTCGTACAAATTCGTATCGCTATATATCAATAAAATAAAAATAAAAGCCCCCATGAATGCAAATTCAAAGTACAGCATTGCAGCAAAAGATCATAACCACATAAACCTCCAAATATCAACTCTTTTCCCTTTATCCTCTTCGAGCTACCCATCCCTCTCTCTCTCTCTCTCTCTCTCTCTCTCTCTCTCTCTCTCTCTCTCTATATATATATATATATATATATATATATATATATATATATATACACGTATGTGTGTGTGATCCCGCATTTAATGCTCGAATAAGCTCTATGCTCAAAGATATTCAACCTCAACACTATATATAATCTACCCATCTCCATAACAGCAACACAACTTTACTCACACACACAGAGGCCTATATCCATACTACACACATACATATATATACATTATAAAGATGATGAGAGGGAAAGCTTTGAAATCGTTGACTAAAAAGTGGAAAAAGATGAATGATGGAGGAGTTATTCCTTCATCTACAAACTGTGACAAGTGTTGTCAATGGGCACTTAATTGGGCATCATCATCCATGCGCGAAGAGGAAGAAGCTTCGATTCCAAGAGATGTCCCAAAGGGTCATTTGGTGGTGTACGTGGGAAAAAACCAGAGGAGGTTTGTGATCAAGGTGAAATTACTGAAACACCCTCTCTTCAGCGCTTTGTTGGATCAAGCTCGTGAAGAATACGACTTCAGTACTGAGTCCAGACTCACTATTCCATGTGATGAGGACATGTTCCTCAGCGTAGTTCAATGTGCCATGTCCCCACAGGATCGAAGGATCCCTCTGTGCCTTTGACTTTCGTTGGGTCTAAGAAATTGGAATTTATGCAAGATTATAATCATTATATATATTCATGTAAAGAGATATATAACTAAATATTGTATGCGACTAGCTATAACAATGAACTTGAATGCAAGAAATGAAACCTGTCTTTTTGTTCCAACAATGATAAAGTACAACTCTTTCTGTAGCAAGTACAACCCTGCGAAGAACTAAAAACAGATTCAAGAAGTTATAACTAATTTAAATTTTCCCACGTTTGTTTTTTAATCCAAAAACCAAGCATTAGAATATCAAACTTTTTTTTTGAGTTCATAGTAATTATAGAAACTTGATTTTCCTCTCTATGCAGATTTTCCTTTGGGTTTTCACGATATTTAGGCCTCCAATTATAATAAAATGTTACTGAAATTGTTAATGTTGGAGAAAATAGATGGGACATGCTTTAAAATGAACTATATAGATATGACGCCATTCTTCCCGATAACTGAAATGCATGGTATACCAAGAAAATATAGCAACAACAACAATACCCAAAATCAAATAGGAATGGGGTATAAGGAAGGTAAGATGTAGACAAATGTACTTCCATCGACGGGGATAGAGACTTCTTCTACAGATGACATCTAGCATATGACACATGGGCCCATAATGATGAATAAAGTAAGGGTGCGATAAAGACGAAAAAACATAGGCAATGGCAAAAAAGGTAAATAATGTACCAAAAACACAATCATATAAAAGAAAATTGGTGAAACATTTCAAAAATTAGAGTAAATTATTTATTTTTTAAAATTAACCCAATGACTATAATTGTTTACAAATCATTGTTTCAAAAATGGTAGTCAAATAATCAGAGTATCCCAAAATCCAAATAACATAAAATCCGAATGATGTGCACGATTACACATTCGTCTTGCCACAATCATCTGAAGAACCTAAAACCATAACAAACAACTGTAGGCACGAAACTTAGTAAGTTCCCCCAAAATACTACCACACAAACATATAACCAAACAGATATCGGGTCCACAACCTCCTGGTTGGATTACCTCTGGCCCACAACCTTTCGGTTGGCTTGCCCAATATATAATAGGTCCATAACCTCCTGGTTGGATTACCCCTGGCCCACAACCTTACGGTTGGAATGCCCCGGTCTGTTGATTGACAGCACAAAGTCGTACAGTCTCAACCCCAGCATACCATGTCGACATATACATAAAAAATAACATATATCCAGCAATAGACAATCATATAATTAGTCAGCAGACAAAGAGGCAGATCTAGAGATCATTACCGCATAGCAACATCCAATAAATCAGGACACATATCTAACAGATCACTACAGCATAGCCACATCCTCTAAACCAGGATACATAGACTAATGGGCTGATATTGGTGCATTCGACCCACAAGAACAGTGAGGAAAACTCACCTGAATCGAAGGACTCTGAAACACTGCGATGCGATCATTTTTTCTACACTGCTTGCACCCGTGAATCTACTAACACCAGAACCAGATAAAATCTTAATCAATAGTCCAAAATCCTTAAGTTTGACCCAAATTCAAACTTGCTCAAAAAGTCAACAGTCAACGAAAGTCAAAGCCCAAGATTGGTTGTGTACGCCCAGCGTACTCCATGTACGCCCAGCATACGCGATTCAAGTCCAAGACGCCAAGCATACGCCCAACGTACGCTGACTGATCCCAACATTCCATTAAGCACTTTATCCCTTATGACCTTTTGTCTAGAGCTCATATATAGACTCAAAACATCGACTGAAGTCATAAAGTTTCCACCTTTATGACTTTCCATGGCTAGAAAAGGTCCAAAAGCTAAACCCTAACTTAATGATTCATTAAGACAGCATAACTCTTGCATGGAAGGGATGGAAGGACCAAGATCACATTTTTATGGTTCCTAATAGCTCCATAATGGATAAAGTTTACAACTTTATCCATTAAAATGGTCCAAACAACCAAAATCTAGTCTTTTAAGTTTCAAAGGGACCAAAAGTGCATCCTTCTTACTTAATCGATTAAGTCCAAGTTTCCAACCTTTAGATCTGAATCAAAATGATGTTTAAATGGATAAAGTTTCCAACTTTATCCATAACAAGGTCACAAACTTTCCAGATCTAAACTTTATGCACTAAAGTGATCAAAAGCTCATAACATCCAAAACTAGCTAGATCTAACAAATGTATCATTAAGATTCAAGCTTTATACCTCTAGAAGAAAGATCAATGTGAACAAAGTTTGGATCTACAAGCTCTAATGCAACCAATACTTCTCCAATGAGCTCCTTCTTCTCCAAGATGCAACAAGAACACTCCAAAGCACTCAAGAACACCTTCTTTTGCTCATAAGGCTCAAACTAGGGTTGGGGTTTCAAGGAAGGGTGTTAGAAAGGTGGAGACTGAGAATGGAATGGGTTTGGGGAAGTTAAGGAGCTTAAATAGGGCTCAAACCATGAAAATAGGGTTTGGGTTCTAATCGTGTATGCCCAACGTACTCCTGGTATGCCAAGCGTACCAGGGATGCCTAGTACGCCCAGCGTACATCATGTACCCCCAGCGTACTAGACTGAGCCCAAAACCTTCCTAACTTCAAACGGTCATAATTTATTCGTTCCAACTCCACTTTTGACGATCTTCATATCCACTATAAAGGTATTGAAGAGCCCCAATAATATTATCTAGATATATTGGACTAAAAACTTCCCGAACAAAAATCCATATTTTATGCAAGAAGTTCGAAACATCATTTTTCCCGTTTTACCCTTTGACTCCAACACAAACCAAGGGCTTTAATCGCATAACCAATATTATCAACATCCAATAGGGTCTAAAACTTATTCCCTTGAAGCCTAAGGCCTTTACTTGATCCATTTATTGTCCAGAATCCCAAAATAAGAAACTTCTCGAAACAGGATGTTACACTAGGGCTTATATTACTTTGTGATTTTAAACCTCCACACCCTCCTATAGTCCTATGTAAGGTCATGTCCTCGGAAAAAGTCAACTTCTTCATCTCTAACATCACACTATCTTCTCACTTGATTATCGGGTGTACTCTATCCCTTGCACCCTCAATCACTCAATCGTGTCTCTCCACCTTCCTAACAATAGTCGTCAGTTGCCTCCATTGGACATGTCTAAACCACTAAAATCGTGATGCCCTCAATTTTTCAGTTATTGATGCATTTCCCATCGTATTTTAGTTCGGATTTTTGTATCCAGTATCCTATCCAACAATATTATGTCTCATGTGTACTTCAGCATCCTCATTTCTACAACTTCCATCTTATTCTCATGCTCCTTGTTTGATAACATTCTTCTCCATACAACATAGTTGTCTGGTGTCACCCTATAAAATTTTCACTTTTATTTCAAGAGGACCTTTTCACACAAAACTATGGTAGCCGATCTTCACTTTAAAAATCTGCACTTTAAAAATCTCACTTTATACGTTGTGTAACGTCGTCAACAACCCTTCCTTGTGGATTATAGACCTCAAATACTTGAAACTTTCCTTTAAGTGTAGTACTTGATCCCGATACATATTTCTACACCATCATCATTATTTTCCCTGTTGAAATTGCACCATAGATATTTTGTCGTACTTGTGTTGATCTGTAAATTCTTTTCCATCATCCAAGTTAAGGGTGTAATGTAACGCCCGTGTTTCTAGAATAAGCATTAGTATAATGGTATAATAGTTAGAGTCAACAATTATAACCTACTTTGAAGTAATAAAGAGAAATTATTTGAATATTATGTGAATTATGTGATTTTATGTGCATTATACTTATTTATAAGATATAATAAGTTAAGAATAAAAATAAGCGTCAAAAATAAAATAATATATAGACACAATATCTATGAATAAAGTTGTAGTGGTCGGGACAAGGATTCCGCAGATATAAAGAACGACGAAATCTGAGTTATAACGAAGAAGTTATGACATGTCGAAGTTTCGCGACAAAACCGGCACGACACCAGGAATCGTAAAAAGTGAGTTCACGATAAATTATTTTTTAGACTTAGTGATCTAAACTAAAGTTGTAGAGTACGTCTCCACCTACGCGTGGATATAAAGAACATCAAAAACGGAGCTCGTATGCAAAAGTTATGAGCTTCCAAAGATGTAGCTATCTGAGGGCATGACACGTGGCAGAAACCGTAGCCGCCTCAAGTCCATGACGTGAACATTAAGTCCACGGCGTGAAACTAGTCAAGGACACTAATCGAGTCTAGAAGACACGTGCTAAGGCTACGGTATGACTCATGGAACCTCACGACATGAACCTATCATGTTCACGACATGAAAATGTCATCCGGGCATCTTTCGAAGCTAGAGCGCAGATGGAAAGTCTACGAAGTGATTCAGTCATGATTCATCACGTGAACATGTCATGTCCACGACATGAACTTGTCTTGGACACCCTATAAATAGCAAGTTCGACTCTTTCATTCCTTACACCAAACCTTCTTTCTTGATGAGGGATTATGGTTTATAGGCCAGTAGATATAAATAAATGTTGTAAGGCCTATGTTCTTTTGTTTATGCTTTTGATCTCTATTGACAATGACATCCCGAGGTTTTAATATAATGAAATACATTTCTTCGGAAATGCTTTGATAAAATCTTTATCATATTTTTGGGAACAAATTTCGCAACATATTTCTTTAAAAAGATACTCTGTCTTTCAAAATAAAGCATAAACAAATCGGTCTTTTCTGACCGTGAAAATGGGGATGTCACATGTAATGAACTCAAGTCAACTTGATGAGTATCTTATATAGTTATATGGTCTTATATACAGGAAAAGGGAAAGTCAAATAGTTAATTATTAGTTATGATTAAATGCAATCAAACAATTAGTAGGTAAATGTAAGGGTTATGGGTAATGTTAAATATGACTCAAGCATTTGGAGCATTCTCATGGAGCATTTGGAGCATTCTCATGGAGCATTTGGAGCACTTAGAACTAAATGGGGCACTTGAGTTTTATAGAGCATGTAACAAAAGAATGGATCATCTGAGATGGATTTGGATCATCTGAAAAAGGAACGGATCAAGTACCAAAGGAACGGATCATCTAAAAGGTGGTTTGGAGAAACTTGGAGTGGTTTGGAGCATCTTGGAGTGACTTGGAGCAACATGATCCAACATGTTGAGCCATGAAGATGTTGATCCATGAAGATGTTTGAGCCATGAAGATGTTGAGCCAATTGAAGATATTGAGCCAAATGAAGATGTTGAGCCACGTGAAGATGTTGGACCAACATGGAGAAGTTGAGGCATCATGCAGAAGTTGCACCACCTGTAGGAGATGTTGAGCCAAACATGAAGGATGTTGCGCATCCTTGCACAAGATGGGCCAACATCATACATGTTGCGACATCTTGGTGCAAGATGCGCCATCTTGGTTTCTTGATGAGCCATGATATTTTTTGTGAGCCACGTATACTATGAAGTCCTATATGATGCTCAGAAGTTGGTGATGCTCAAGGAATACACCATGTTGTGCCACCATGATGTATGTTGGGCCACTAGTGTTCATGTTGTACCACTATGGATCAAGGTGCTCCATCATGTGTGTTGTTGATGCTCATGGGTTGTATGACACGGATGAATGTTCCATAAGATGTTGCATGGTGGAATATGATTGGTTGTCACCTTTCATGGGCCTGTGGACAAACGGGCTTTGCCCATTAGGGTTTTAGGTCTAATCCCTCAAGTATAAATATGGATGCATGCTAAGTCATTTGGTGTCCTTTGTATCCTTAGTGAGTAGCACGAATCTCTGGTGAATTATACTTGTAACCTCTGTTGAGAACTCTGGAATAAAGAATACTCCCCTCCTGCATGTGGACGTAGGTCATTTTGACCGAACAACATAAATATTGTGTCTTGTGTGCTTTTGGTTTTGTTTGTTATCCCCATTACTTCCTAACAATGGTCATCATAACTTGGCAAATGGCATCAGATTTGATTTGCTCTGAGTCTTAACAAGTATCGTCTGATTTCCTAACAGGTAATTTATTTTTTACAATTGTCTCTTAGTTGACAAATTTAGTAGAAAGTTGTTTCAGTAGAGTTGTATAATTAATGGATTAGTTAGTGTTAGAGTCATTCGTTGATTGTATTAGAGTTAACTTTGGGAGAGACCAAGAACTCATTCATATTGCATCATTACAAGTTGCAATTAGTATCAGATTGTATCATGGTATCACAGCAGTTTCAAACCATGGGAACTTGTTCATCAGCTAACTGAATAAATGAAAGGAGGAATTTCATTACAAGTTGCAATCAATATCAAATGGCATAAAAAAGTTTCAAACCATGGGAACTCGTTTAGCAGGTACCAATTGCACAAGCCCGATTTGAATCAAATTTTGAATCAATGGAAGGAAGCCTTCAAGCAATTATATGCAACAACAAACCAAATTATCAAAAATCCAAGAAGATGTAGGAAAGAAAATGATTATGTTAGTGTTAGACAAGTATGTCAACAGACATTCAAAATCAACTTCATTTTGTGTCATTAAACTAACAATCAACAAATTTTATCTAGAAAATTAGATTTTAAAGGTCGATCAATATTTTTTCTTTAAATCGCCTGACCAATAAAATGTTGGAAGTAGTGATCATCTCATTCGATGGTGATGCTTTATGATGGTTCCAACGAGGGAACAAAAGCTTGTGATCAAGAAATGGGAAGAATTAAAACAATTGATCTTGAATCAGTTTTGAAAAATAATGAACAAAACATTTTGGGGTTAATATCATAAAACATTCTTATACATTGAGTTTTTTAAGATTAATCCTCAACTTATTTTTTTTAAATGACCATGCATTTTTTCATTATTTTCGATTTGGCTATTTTAGTAGGTTTTCCAATAATCTTCAGGTTTTAGATAAAAAAAATCAGGAAATCATCAGAAAAGTCCTAATATTTTACCCTAATTTACGAAAAATCTCAAACTAAAATTTGTTTATAAAAAATCATGAATTACCAGTAAAAAATGATGATATGACTCCTTTTTCTCAGTTTTTACCGGTTTCATCATTTACTTGGTTCGATTAAAGTTTCATTATTTTACCCTGATTTACAAATAAGTCTTAAACTAAAATTTAATGATGAATTGGTCATTTTCTCTGTGTAACATATATTTTATCGGTTTCATTGATAACCTGAACGCCTACTCATTAAATAAGTTGATAAGATGGATATGATGTGTTATATAATGCTACGTTTACCGTATAATTTAATATTCATCTCATCGGCACATTTATGACTATGTATCCAAGTCAGCAATGAAACCGATAAAATGTGTGTTTTCGGGAAAAAAAAGTGTGGGAAATGAGTTGATGTATGATGAGATGGATATATCGGGTTACATAAGATTAGATAGACGATTTGAAAATTCTTATAAACTTAAAAAATGAAGAAGTTGTTGGTAGTTTATGTAATTATTACAGTCTTCGTGGGATGCATTTCATATTCCAAAAAATATACATTACATCACGATATCAAGTTTTATGGTAAATATGACATTATATAACCCAACATATCCATCTCATCAGCTCATTTAATGACTAGGCGTCAAAGTCAGCAATGAAACCGAAAAAATGTATCTTAATGTGAGAAAATTGTCAAATCATCACTAAATTTTACCGGTACTTCATGTTTTTTAGTAAATAAATTTTAGTTTGAGACTTTTTCGTAAATTAGGATAAAATCTTATGATTTTTTTGGAGATTTCCCTAAAAAAATTCAGAAAAACACTTATCTTTTATAAACTTTTAACTTTTTTTCTTTAAAAACGAACGTTTGGCAAAACTTTTTGCATGATGCTCAAAGATTGCAGCAATTGAAAAACAATTGTCTAGCCTGCCTTGAAATTGTTTCTAACGAGAAAAACATGCAAGCTTAGATTAGATTCCAAACATAGAATGGTGTTCGGAAGTTGTCTTTGTGTTTGGTTCTTAACATAATACAGTATAAGATATCAAGCCAACTAAAATTGTTTTTCTTTACATGCTACAATCTTGAAGCATCTTGCAAATATATCTTGATATATATTTTGTCAACAATAATTTGATACAATAGTCTCTCCTTGTTTCGAACAAACAAATGGTTCCATGAAATGTTGAAAAACATTAAAGATCACTATAAACGTCAACAAGAAGAATATGACAATTATGAGTCAAAAAAAAAGACATAATTTCGTTCATACGAAAACAAAATTTGAGTCTCAAAGGAATATAACGACATTATTATAGATCAAATCAGTTCTTAGCTTGAAATGTTTCTAACGGTGAAACATGAATTCTAAAATCAAATTCCAAAAAAAATAAATGAGTTTTTTCGGAAAAAAAATATTGAGGGTTTTTCCGAATTTTTTTTATTCTAAAACCGGAAGATTACCGTTAAACTTATTAAAATTGCCAAATAAAACACACACACACACAAATTAGGAAAAAAAATTGGGGTTTAATCCTTAAAGAAACAATATATAAGGTTTTTTAATGATACTAATCCAACCATTTTGTAATCAATTATTGGAGGTAAAACAAATGATACGGTGAGGTGAGAAGGAAAAATAAGAATCGGAAATCAAGATCAAATTTAGGAAACAAATTTGGTATCATCAATCTTCATTTCTGTCGGGGTTAAGACTGCATTTACTGTGTATGGCATAAACATTATATTTGAAGCTAGGAAAATAAAGATCGATATTATAAGGCTAATTCTTCCTTGGTTATCTAAGGGCATCGATTGGAGATGACAACTTTCAGTAATGCTCAAGAAATAACCAACGGAATCACAGATGAGGTGATATGGGTCAACTCTTGTAAAGTGCAAGTCAACTCAAAACCAATGTCAGATGATCAACATCCAATTTGTAGGTTTATAGTGATGTTTTATAAATGTAATTGGATTATTTATTTATTTTTAAAGATAGAATCGATGGGACATATCACATATGTACAACACAAGATGGCATAAATTACCACTACAAGGGAGTGTAAAATATACACATGTTATATCTGCCTCATGATAAAAGTACATATGATACAAAACATCAAGATGGTGTCACAAAAACAATGGCAGTGCTAATGCTAAATCACATTTTTTTTCTGAAATACAATCAACACACAAAGCACTGAAGAAAATTACCAATTCAAAAGAATTTTTCAGCAAGCATCATCATCTAACATCTTCAAGCAACCCTTCAAGCTCTCTTTCACCAAATGGTGTTCCATTTGAATTTGCATCTTTTGATTTAACAGATAAATAGTATAGAAGCCATGCCACCATAAAGTATACCTCCATGAAAGACTGAAATGCAGAAGCAAATAACTTCCCAAAGAATCTTGAAAGCACCCATCTTGCAAATGACCCACAAATAATACCTTCCAAACACTTGAGATTGATAGCAGGATGCAGCATTAAAGATAGCAAATGACACCCTTCTTTTACAACTTCTTTCACACTCTTTCTGGTGTCCACCATTGCAATCCAAGCATCCACAGCAAAAACGAATGACACTAATGTGTCAAGCAAGAACCAGGATAACAGAAAGCCATAGATTTCTCTCTCAAACCCTTTTACCCAAGGGGACACGATTGAAAATGGCATTAGTTTTAATCTAACGAAGATCTTGAAGAACAGATATTGATCCTCGATTTCTCCAAAGAACCAAACGCCTAGGAGTTGAGTCAATGCATCCCTTACAGCCCATCTCATAACAATGTAGCCTGATAACCTTTTCAAACCTAGATTTGATCCATCCCAGAGAGTTCGAAGAAATGATTTATGCCCTTTTAACAAATCATTCATGACTACTACAAAAATAATCCCGAGAACCCAAGCGTAAGTAACAACAAATCCAAGAATTGCAAAACCGTATGAAGCAGATAACACGCCGAGAAGAAATAATAAGGCAGTCATTTCATGATGTTCTAGTTCAAACCTCTTGAGAAAAAGCTGCAGATCATCAATGGTATCACTCTCATTTTCTTTAATCATTGGAGGAGAGTTGGTATTACCGGTATCTGTCTTTTCTTCTTTCTCGATTGCCTCGACTGCTTTGAAAGAAACCTTAGCATGAGAACGCACAATCTCTGAAACCCTAATTCCATTATCGGATATGAAATTAGAGAACCCTCGTTGGGGATCAAAGAAGTCAACTATGAATGAGGTGGCATTCAGTTGTGGTCTTGGCAGGGTTCCGAAGAATCGGTGATCAAGCTCTTCATCTCCAGAGAAGAAATCATCATCTAGGGTTCCAACACGGGTGAGCTGGAGGAAAGGCCGGCGGCGATGGCGGTGGGTGATGGCGGGTGGGGAGGCGGGATTAGAGGAGATGTGGAGGCGAGAGAGGAGTGATTTTATGGAAGGGTCATGGTCGATGAAGGAAGTAAGGGAGTGAGTGGCGGTTTCGACGTTGGAACGGAGGGAAAGGATGAGAAATGAGAGGAGGATGAAGATGAGGAGGTGGTGGTGGATGGAGAAGATGGTAGTGGTTTGTTTGAGGATCTGAGTGGTGGTACGGAGGTGAATCAGGGGAGGCGGCGGAGAACGGCCGTCCATGGTGGTGAATTTTGCAACGGCGGATCTTGGATTTGTGTACTTTTATTTTTGTTCGTCGACGAAATAATCCCCGGCACAATTGGTTAGACTTGGATGGAGTTGCATATGAACAACATGGTTAGAAAATGAATTTAATTACTAAACTAACCCCAAAAGTAGTTTAACAAAAATTGGGGGCAAATTTGGAACATTAGGTATTACCATGTTTTTTAAAATGATTTATTAACTTCTTATTGGTTTTATCAAAAAGTCAATAAATTAAAAAATTATTTGGTAAAAGTTAACTTTTTAGACAAAAAAAATATAAAAATTCACTAAAAAAATTAAAAAGCACTCTCAAACACACCCGAAGACGATGTTATTCCCAAAACCACGGTTTAAAAGACTAACTCAAAATCACCAAAGAATTCTCCATAATCATAGTTAAAAACACATGTTTAAGACACTAGGTGAATCATCGCGTGTTGCGTGAATATAACTATTTTATTAAAATAATAACTTTTAACAAATTGTGATTTAATATATATAAATGAAAACCAATGTTAGTAGCAAAACAAAAAATTATAGTTAACCTATTAGTTTTATTATCTGTAATAATCTTATATCATTAGTTATTTATATTATTAATTGATGATTTTATAGATTGTTTTATTTGTGTAAATTGTATATCAAACGTACGTTAATTTCTATATATAAAAAATGCAAAGTACTAAGAAATAAATAAATACTACAAATTTTGATGATTTTATAGATCGCTTTAAGTTGTGTAAATTATATATAAAACGTAAGTTGATTTGTATATGAAACAAATAACAAATAGTATTGAAAAATAAAACTTTTAATTACATAAAAACACTACAACATCTACTATAACGATTACATCAAATGAAATTTGTTAAACACTTATAAATTTTTCAAAATGAATATTTAGAAATCAATATACCATGATATATAGAAACATTGTTATGAAAAAAGACGTTGAAATAACCGTTGATGAGACATAATTCATATTGTAACACCCATAAAAATCACAAGAAATTTAAGCTTTTAAAATCAACCCAATTCATAAATTGTTTACAAATCATAGTTTTCAAAACATTTTTCCAAACATCAGGGTCTCCCAAAATCATAAGTCATAAACAATAGGATGTGTACGGCCACGCATTTGCCTTCCCGCGGTCATCCGAAGTACTTGAAACATAACTCAAAATTGTAAGCCAACGCTTAATGAGTTCCCCCAAAGTACCAACACATAAACAGATAACATATACAATAACAGCATGTCGGGTCCAATCAACCATCGGGTTGGAATACCCCAGGCTCAATCAACCATCGGGTTGGAATGCCAATATATTATGGGTTCAGCTAACCTGTAACACCCCGTTTATTTATTTAATAAATAAATCGATGAATGAATCGTAGCCCATAAATCAGTAATTATATGGCAGAGTGTTGGTCTCGAGGGGTTAATTGTCAGTTTTAGAAGTTTGGGGTTAAAAGTGTAAGTTCCGGGATTTATTTTGTAAAGATTTTTAGAAGACAAGGGGTATTTGGTAAATTCTGGGCCAAATATGAAAAGGATTGGTAGGGGGAGGGGCTGTATTGTAAATCTCGGACCTAATTTGTAATGTATTTAGATGGCATGGGTTAAAAAGGTAATTATCGGATTTAAATTGAAGAAGATTTCCAAATCCAGGGTAAAAAGGGTAAATATTGGATTAAATGTGAAGAAATCTTATGGGGAGGGACCAATTATGCCATTATGGCAACTTGGTTATGGAGTCGGGTATATAAGTGTAAGGAACCCTAACCCTAAAGGAAGGAATCAGCCGTCTCCCTCGCCGGCCTCCACTCCCGTTTCTTCACCTCCGGTCGCCGCCACCTCACATTCCCATCCTCCCTCCGCCACAGCAACCCAATCGTCGCTAGGTGTCGCCACGTCGTTGTTCCTGGAAGCGATGAGAAGCCGGAAAGCTGCTGAGAGAGGCTGAGATCGTCGCAGCCGCCGCCCCCGGCCGTCAGATCCTGCTGTCGCTACTCCTTCGTCACCGAGGAACCACGACATCGCTGCTGTTGGGTTCTAGTCGGAGGCTAGGCGCATTTCGCTGTCGTCGTTTGCTGCTGCCGTTCGGAAATCGCTACATCCCGCCGACGCCTCCATAAGCCACCTGCCATCATGAAATGGTGGCTGGGTTGGTGGTCTCGTGAAGCTGGGTTCGTATTAGAGTGTTGGAGGCGTGTGTTTCGATGGTCAAGACTGCAAGAGGGTCCTTTGTGCCGGAGTTATAAAGAAAACCCCACTGCCACCACCGTGAGGTGGTGGCTGTTGTCCTTAACCGTCGGCAAGAGGGTCCTTATGTGTGTTTGTATTGGTGTGTGTGTGTTTGATTATTGTAGTTAGCATTGTAAAATGTATCTAGAAAGAAGGATAATGAAATGAAATTGAAAACCACCACCTAAGGGTGGTGGCTGTCGCCTCCTGCCGCCACCGGCCGCCGTGTCGGGTGGCGGTGTGCTTGCCTTCTGAGTTTGATTCGTTTGGGGTGATTGAAACCCTAATGGGCTCAATGTAGCATAATGGTCTTAAATAAAACCCTAATGTGCTTAATAATATTCTGGTGGGCTTAAGAGGCCCAATAAAGCCTTAATGGACCTAAAAGCCCAACAATTGATAAGTAGACTAGTATTTGGGATGGAAACCCTAATGACGATAAAACCCTAATTTTGAGAATTAATCGGGACACACACACGGGAATTATTTAGTAGTTTGAAATATTAAAATAATAATCATTGGCAAAGATTAATCTAAGCAATATTGGACTTAATGGATTAAGTCCTTAGTGGGTTAAGTCTTTAATGGGTTAAGTGAGAAACACTTAACCCTAATCGTCATTTTATGTGAAACCCTAATTTCACTTGGGTTTATTGTTGGGCCTTTCTATTGAGCCTTGATGATTGGGTTATTAATGGGCCATCCAAAGTCAAGCAATTGGACTAGAATAATTAATGGGCTATGAGGTAAGGCCCATATGAGGAGTTGGGCTCAATTTGGAAAATTGGGTCATAGATGGGCCAAAGTTTGGGCCTCAATAACTATAGGATGTTGGGCCTTAATATAGGACCATGTAAAGGCTTGGGCCCAATTTGGAAAGTGGGCCATATGTTGGGCTTTGATTCTTAGTTGACTTTGCGCTTATGGATTGGGCCTTGGGCTTGAATAAGCCAAGCTTGGGGTAATGTAGTAATTATCCAAGTATTTATTATGGTTATGTGATGGGACCCAATTATTAATTGGGTGTTATTTTGGTGTTGACAGTTCGGGAACCTGTCATCCAGCAGCTGGGGTTGAGTCTGCGGGACTTCAGCAGCGTGGGATTGAGTCTGCGGGACTTCAGCAGTGTGAGGTGAGTTTTCCTTCCAGTAGGAACGGGTCTACGGCCACAATGCCGGCCCGTTTAGATAGCAGTAGTTCCGGACTTTGGTCTGATGCAGTAGTACAGTATGCTTGATATCTTTGTGATTCAGGCATGTTTATGTGTTAGTTAGTCCGGACCTCGGTCTGATGCAGTATGCAGTATATGTGCTTATGTTATATGATATGATCATGTTATGCTATGTCCAATTAGTCCGGACTTCGGTCCGATGCAGTGGGCAAGGCCCAAGATAGTCCGGATTTCGGTCCGATGCAGGGGGCAAGGCCCCAGTTAGTCCGGACTTCGGTCCGATGCAGGGGGCAAGGCCCCAGTTAGTCCGGACTTCGGTCCGATGCAGTGGGCAAGGCCCAAGTTAGTCCGGATTTCGGTCCGATGCAGGGGCAAGGCCCCAGTTAGTCCGGACTTCGGTCTGATGCAGTGGGAAAGGCCCAGTATGTGCTTTATATGTTATTGTATGGTATGTGGTAGTTTGGGGGAGCTCACTAAGCTTCGTGCTTACAATTTCAATTTTGGTTTTAAGTACTCAGTTTTCAAAAGAGGAGCTCGGGAAGATTGCAGTGCACACACACCATTTGTTCAGCCTGGGATGTTTATGCTCTGATATACTTGACAGTTGTTATAATATTTTGAGATACATTGCTTATGATTTTTATATGAGGTTTATTGACTATGGTTTTTATTATTAAATTAAACGAAATTTTCAGACTGTGTTTTTGGGATGTTACATAACCATCGGGTTGGAATACCCCAGGCCCAATCAACCATCGGATTCGAATGTCAATATACAACGGGTCCTGTCATCCTCGGGATGGAATACCCTCGGGCCCAATCAACCATCGGGTTGGAATGCCCTCGGCCTATTGGCTCACGCACAAAGAAATAAAGCCTCAACCACCAACCAAATATGTACATATATAACAAAAAAACATATAATCAGTCTACAGACAGTCAGGCAGATCTACAGATCACTACGCATAGCATCATCCTATCTACCAAGATACAGATCATGGTAACATACTATCACATAACAAATATCTAATCCAATAGGCAGACATTGGTGCCTTCGACCCGTAAGTACAGTGAGGGAAAACTCACCTCACAAACTGGACAAAAGTTGATGAGGTCCCGACTCCGAATCTCGGGCCCAACCGACACCTATCCATCAAAATGACCAATCACAATCAAAATCCCAAAATACCCTTAGGTCAAACTTGGTCAAAGTCAAAGTCAAACTGATCAAATCAACTGAGTCAACCCAGCCGAGTCCACCCAACCGATTCAACTCAGCCGAGTCACCACAGAGTGAGTATGCGGGGGGAACTCCCTATGTATGTTGGGCGTACTCGCACGTTGACTACCATCGGGGTCGTTGACCTCTTACGCAGGGCGTACTCCAGATACGCGGGGCGTACTCCCAGAATCCCAAAAATCCCATTAAGTGCTTTATAGCTTAAGCACTCACGTTTATTTTTCAGATCCATGGCTAATATACCCTCAAGAATCATAAAGTTTCCAACTTTATGACTTTGCATGTCCATTAAGTGCTTAACTCAACTTCTTAATCCA